CGGTCTGGGAGGATCCCACATGCCGCGGAGCGGCTGGGCTCGTGAGCCATGGCTGCTGAGCCTGTGCGTCCGGAGCCTGTGCTCCGCGACGGGAGAGGCCACAGCGGTGAGAGGCCCGTGTACCACAAAAAAAAAAAAAAAAAAAAAAAAAACTATAAAAAAAAAAAAAAATCAAGAAACAATAAGAGGGCTTCCTTGGTGGCGCAGTGGTTGAGAATCCGCCTGCCAATGCAGGGGACACGTGTTCGAGCCCTGGTCCGGGAAGATCCCACATGCCACAGAGTGACTAAGCCTGTGCGCCACAGCTACTGAGCCTGCGCTCTAGAGCCCGCGAGTCACAACTACTGAGACTGCGTGCCACAACTACTGAAGCCTGTGAGCCTAGAGCCCGTACTCTGCAACAAGAGAAGCCACCTCAATGAGAAGCCCGCACACTGCAAAGAAAGGGTAGCCCCCGCTCGCTTCAACTAGAGAAAGCCCACATGCAGCAACGAAAATCCAATTCAGCCAAAAATAAATAAATTAAAATAAATAAATTTTTTAAAAAAAGAAACAATAAGAGTTCATGTGCTTTTTTTCAATGTCCGATTTAAGTCTGGCAGAAGTTGGAAAGTTTTGCTGAGGATTCTAAGCTTTCCACAAAGAAGTTTATTTGGTTAATGATCTCACCAGGGGGGATTTACAAATCTTATCCAACTGCTGCACCCCAGAGAAAGAACAGCATATAATACTGGCAGCCTGAGACCAACAGGGCCACACAGTGTACCGCCTGCGGAACAAAGCTGTCCCCGAGGCAGACCCACAGTGGAATTACTAAATAAATTCTATTCATAGGGATAGATGGGACCATATGATTAATTATTTAATAAAGGCTATAAAATTTTTTTCAGTAAAACCTGTCAATTACAAAGAAGTAAAAAAAAGTCCAACAGGAATTAAACGAAAATCTGACAGTATTTCAAGAAAGGTTAATAGAAACTTTTGAAAAGTATATGAATGTGGATCCCTCCTCTCTGGAGGGACAGGCCCTTTTGGCTATGCATTTCATAGCCCAGCCTGCCCAGTCAGGCACAAAATTCAAAAAGCAATGGCCGGACTTCCCTGGTGGCACAGTGGTTAAGAATCCATCTGCCAATGCAGGGGACATGGGTTTGATCTCTGGTCCGGGAAGATCCCACATGCCGCGGAGCAACTAAAGCTCCTGCGCCACGACTACTGAGCCTGTGCTCTAGAGCACACGAGCTACAACTACTGAAGCCCACACCACAACTACTGAAGCCCGTGCACCTAAAGCCCGTGCTCTGCAACAAGAGAAGCCACTGAAATGAGAAGCGTGTACACCACAATGAAGAGTAGCCCCCGCTCTCTACAACTCGCGAAAGCCCGCGTGCAGCAATGAAGACCCAATGCGGCCAAATAAACATACATTTTTAAAATAAATAAATAAATAAATATGTGGTAAAAAGCAATGGCCGGTCCTCAGACACCTATAAGCGACTTGCTCCAATTGGCTTATTCAGTTTTCAATAATAGGAATATAACCTAAAAGATTAAATGCACCCAAAGAAATATACAAAAGGCCCAAATGATGGCAGTAACTTGGTCCTCTGAAAAACCACTAAAGGGGAGGCTGGGCTTTCTGGGCCAATCTGGCCATGGTAAACCACAGGGCCCGTGGGTACCAAGACAGTGTACCCTACATGGACGAGGGGGCACTGAAGGAAAGACTGTCATCAATGTACCCTTTGCAAATAGCCAGGGCACTGGCAGAGGGAATGCCCCAGATGCCAGAAAGCGACAGGGATCCCTCGGCCTTTGATGGTTTTACAATCGAAAGACTGGGGGGGGGGGGGGGGCCCAAGGCCAAAAGGGGATCCACCTAGAGATACCATCTACATAACTACTGTCGAGCCTCAAACTTCAGGTGGTAATTGACGTGGTGAGCCACTTGATAAAATTTCTCATAAACACCAGTGCAACCCTTTCAGTCTTAACCCAAGACTGAAAGCCTTAACAACCATAGGAAATATGTAATGGGAGTGTCAAGAAAGAGACAGGGGCACACTTCCCTGGAACCCCTTTTGCGCAACATCAATGGCTGGTCGTTTTTACATTCCTTTTTGTTTGTGCCTGATTGTCCTCTCTCTTTAACGGAAGGAACTTATAACTAGATTAGGCGACACTTTGTTTCTCGAGGGACAAGGAAGCCACCCTTATCACTAAATGATATTAACCAAAAAAAAAGAAAAACAGAGTAAATCTATAACTAAAATAAAAGTCTCGGGCTTCCCTGGTGGCACAGTGGTTGAGAGTCCGCCTGCCGATGCAAGGAACACGGGTTCGTGCCCCGGTCCGGGAAGATCCCACATGCCGCGAAGCGGCTGGGCCCGTGAGCCATGGCCACTGAGCCTGCGCGTCCGGAGCCTGTGCTCTGCAATGGGAGAGGCCACAACAGTGAGAGGCCTGCGTACCGAAAAAAAAAAAAAAAAAAAGTCTCAATAAACCCCTAAGTATAAAACATTAAGGTTCCGGGCCTAGCCAAAAGCAAACAGATTGAGGCCTCAAGTAACTGCCTTCCAGATTTGTAAAATGTTTTGAAAAAATGGTTTGGGTCTCCAAGACGGTGGCTACAATCTCTTTTAATAACTCTTCTAATGCTTATTGCTGTATTTCTTTCTTTTTTTCTTAAATAAACTTATTTATTTTATTTATGTATTTAGTTTTTTGACTGCGTTGGATCTTCGTTGCTGCACGCGGGCTTTCTCTAGTTGCAGAGAGTGGGGGAGGGGTGCAATGGGAGAGGCCACAGCAGTGAGAGGCCCGAGTACCGCACCAAAAAAAAAAAAAAAAAAAAAGAATAATGCTAACAGGAGGGGCATTGGCTTCTGGTTCTTCTAACAGAGAAGGGACAGTCAGCCAGGTGTTTTACTTCTTCCCCAGGCAGGCCTACATTCCATCTCAGCAGAAAGTAGTTAATGATAGGTTGTCACCCATTACCCCCCTTTAAGCATAAAGGGTAAACACCTGGAGGGGGGAATGATACGGACAGAGTAAAAGGACAAAGTAGGTAATTAAATAGTTAATCCCAGTAAGTGGTTATAAGTAAAGAAAAAGGTATGGGAGACCCCTGTAAGTTAATGATCACTCAAGAAAGCAGGTTTGCTTAACCACAAAACCATGCAACAGAAGCATGAGACATGCCACAAAACAACAAAACAATGGTGGAATGAGACCCACATCCTGCCCAGTGAGCTCAGGTTAATGATTCCTAGGACACACGTGCACTAAAAACAAACATATAAGGAAAGGGTGACATTATACTAAAACTTGAAATGATTTATCATATGTTAGTGTATGTTACCGCCTTTTTGCTCATTTCCATTGCGCCATGACAGTCCTGGTTTGACCATGTAGGAACAAGAAAACTCCCCACCCGACTTGGAAAAGGAATTGATGATGGAAGCTTGATGTCTCCTCAATAATGAGGAAGAAGGTGGTCTTCTCACCCTCCCCATTCTTCCTTTGATTACAAAACTATAGCTCACCATGTTCTCCAGATGGCACCCTCTCACCCACCCCCTTGTAAGCCTCTCAAGTGTCCTACTCTAATAAGTCACTTCTTATCTATCACTTTGCCTCTCCCTGAATTCTTTCTGCTCTAACGAACGGGAGCTACTCGGACCACGCACACCCCACCCCCAATGCATTTCTGCGGTTTCATCAGTAGATTGGCTTTACTGCTCCGGGGCAAGCAGACCCACGTTTGGTTCAGTAACACCCTCACCCAAGCCCCACTGAAGTGGCGGCCAGGTCTGAGCTGTGCCTAAGAGGCACCCCTTCCCTACAGAGTAAACACATGTGTTTACTGCACCAGGACATGCTCCTCTGGTAGACCTGATAAGCGACTCTCTGGACTGCCTCCGGCTCCAGGGCTCTCATCAACCTTCTAGGTCTAGGCAGTCAAGGCCCAAATTTTGCAGCTTCCCAATCATCCCCTCTCTCACTTCTCCGGGATAGCCCAGGCCTCCGGCCAACTTCCTAGTTCAGTCCAGGCAAGGATCAGGGCTTGGGGAGGGGGCTGGCTTCCTGCTCCGTCTGGCCTGTTTGTCCATCACAACAGACAACTTGGGTAGAGAGGCAATGTGGAAACCAACCAAGGCCGGGATGTGCGGACCAGGTGCGGGCGGGGAGCGAGGGCTCCGGGCAAGCGGTCGGCGCACTCAAGTTAGGCGCACACGTGGCCGCAGACTCCTTGGGCATGTGCAGGTTACGGGGAGAGTTGCGGGTGGCACCAGACCGGCCGAGGCTGGAGTCTCTACCCCAGGACTCTTAAGGACACCGACGGGAACCCACACAGGGCCCCAGCTCAACGTTCCTCAGTTGCCCAGAGCCCCCCACTTACCTCCTCCGCTGCGCTTGCCGCCTCTGCGGGGCGCGCTGCCTTTTCGGGCGCGGGGCATGCCGGGAATTGGGCGCGGCGGGGCGCGGGGTCAGGGACCCGGCGGGCAGGGGCTCCAGACCAGCGAGTCGCCGGCCAATGCGCTGAGTTGAGACTTGGGCAGACGACGGGAGCCACACGCCGCGCGCGCCACCATCTTCGCGAGGCGCCCCGCCCTGCCGAACGTGTCGAAGCGCCCCACCCTGCTAAATGGGTGGCCGGGAAGGCGAGTTCCTGGTCTCCCGGTTCATGGAACCTCTCCATGCGGCCGAAACTACTATTCCCAAGGTGCTGCGCGCGGATTACCGCCCCCCCTCGCTGGGCGCAGAGCACCTTGGGAATTGTAGTCAGCTCCCGGGACCCACAAGCCCACGACGCTCTAGCTGAACTATGCACCCACAATGCCTTGCGGCGTTCCCACCCCCTCGCCCAACACGTTTAGTCGTTAACTCTGTAGCTGCCCACGACGCAGGACCGGCATCTCTGGGTACTTGCAGCGGGACGCTCGCGACAGGAAGAGGGTGGGTTTCGTAGAATTGGGGAACAGCCAAACCTCAGGCAGTGAAAGAAAAAGTAACTTTATGATGAAAGCAGATTACAGACAACAGCTTAGCACTTAAAGACCTTAGCCAAGATCTCCTCAGGGGCCCACCTGCCCCTGGACGGGTCTCCTGTGACCATTCCATGGACGCAGTGAAGTGTAGAACAGAGCCCTGGGCTGGCAACCTTAACCTTCTGGAACACCGACTCTTCCTGGGGCTGCTTTCTTGTCAGGAGGGATGAGGTGATCTCAGAGGGCGTCTAGTTTTAAAACAGTATGTTTTTTTCTGGCCTCTTCCACTCCCCAGGGATCCCATGGGAAGTGGGGTGTGTGCATGGGAGAAGTGACTGTAAGCTAAACAGAACAAGAGTGGGACAAAGTCTTCCCTCCAGGACTGGAAAGATGGCAGCAGGAACATGAAGGTCAGAGGCAGGTGACTCCTGGCTTTATGTTGCTTCTTCAGGCCTGGGCTCCTGGCAGGTAGGGCCAGCCCAGCCCGAGTAACAACGGCAGCTGAAGGACTCCCAATCTCCAGGGCTGCCATCTGGCTCCAGGTGCAGAAAGACTTCCAGTTGTCCTGGGTCTTGCCAAGCACATCGGCCATGGCCATGGCACCGCTGGTGACTGCAGGCCATGGCTGCCCTGGTCACGTTGATCACATAAGGGCCCAGGGTGCTCACTAGGTAGTCATGGAGATGCCAGCACTCCTCCTGAGGAGAGGGAAGGGATGTATCAATGCTTCTGCTCCATGGCCCTGACATGGTCTTTCCCCATCTCTGGGACCCCAGCATGGGCTGTGTGGCAGGCTGGAGGGGGCAATGATCACCTCAGAACTGGAGAAGCTCAGGTCCCCCCAGAGCACCACGCCGGCTGCCCCCAGTGCAGCGGTCACACCAATGGTCTGCACAAGTTCATCCTGGAGGCAGAGAGCTGCTAAGCCAGGGCTGGGCTGGCCAGCTCCATCTGGCCCAACCTCCACCTTCAAGAACTTTCATGGCTCACTGCCATGATCCGATTCCACCCCTAGAGGAGGGCTCCTTGGCCCTGAGCCTCTGAGTGGCTTCTCAGGCCCTCAGAGAATGTCATGCCTCCCCAGTCAGACCCCTAGACTTCAGTTTTCACTCACCTGGGACAGGAACCTCCCAGAGCTCCGGTGTGTGAGGCGGGCATAGGCCAGGACAGGCAGGGGATGTGGGTGCCCAGCGAGGGCCACACGGAAGGCCTCCTCCAGGCGGTATCGGACAAATGCGTGGTGGTGAGCAGGTGGTAACCTGGGTGGGAGGTATATGCTGGGGAAGAGGGCGCTGGAGGCGGCCCAGAGCCAATGCAGTTGGGTGTTGCGGGCAAGGGTGGCTGCATGGCAGTGGCCCGTGTAATTGGAAGCTGTACCATGCCAGCCATTGCCACAGGCCGGGAAGCGATAGAAGCCCCAGAGCCCATGGGGCTGCAGTGCCCGGCCTAGCCGCAGTGTATCCTCCATCAGTGCACGGGCTGCCTGTTCAAAGCCGATACGGGCCTTGTAGAGCTGCTCCTGGGGGTCCAGGTTGGGGAATACCCGCCGTGCCCAAGCCCAGGAGGCTGTCTGGTAGACCTGGCGGCAGCCCCAGTTCCCAGACCAGAGTGGACACCATTCCTCCCAGTCCAGTACTGCCAGGCCAGCGAAGCCAGGTTGCAGGCTGTGGCGGATCTGATAGGCAGCCCGTGCCAGGTGGCGGTCAAGGGGCACAGCCTGGGGGATGCCCCCGTTGTGAGCTGTGCCCCTCGGCCCAAGGTAGGGATAGAAGCCGAGCTGGTTCTTGTAGAAGATGGTGACATTCTGGCCGTGGAAACGCTGGCCACGGTTGGCTGCGATGCCCAGGGCCTCTAGTGGCAGGTGCACGCCAAAGCGGGCCTTACAGTGTGCTGAGGGCACATTCCACAGCACCAAGAAGGGGCGTTCAGGGGCTTGCAGCAGGGGCTGGCCACATCCCAAGCACAGGGCCACCCCTAGCACCAGGGCCAGGCCTAGCTGCATGGTCATGCCCCAGGGATGGAAACCTGCAGGAGAGAGGGGGTGTGAGCTTAGACTCCATGGCCATGGCCACACCTTCCACACAGCAGAGAAAGCTGGGAAAACTCCTCCAGCTCCTCCTCACAAGAAAGGGAGGTGCGTAAAGCCTGGTTCCCAAGGGGTCTCATAGGCCTCTCAGAGCAGCCACAACCCAAGCTGGCTTGGGCAGCTCCCCTTCTGTATTGTCCATCTCTGCCATGGCACCACCGTGCCCTCTCACACCTCCCCCACCTACCGCTTTCACAAGTCCCCTTCTTTCCTCTGCCCATTTTGTTTCCTGCCCCAAGAACACTCAGCCCCCACCTTGCCTGGCTTAATTTCTACTCAGCACTCAGGTCTCTGCTATGGCATCACCTGCCCTGGGAGGTCTACCAGATCTCCAAGTGGAGTGAGGAAACTTGAGCTCCCACTGTCCCAGCATGGATCCTGCCACAGTATGCCTGCCCTGTCCCTTGGGCTGAGACCCTATCTGTCTAGTTCCCCACTGCCCGTGCCCAATCCAGGGCCTGTAACACAGCAGGTGCCCAGTGAATGGTGATGAGTGAATGTCTCCTTGTCCCCTGGGCCTGGCAGAGTGAGAGAGGTAAAAGGCAGGTGTCCCTCCACCCATGGCCCTAAGGCTGAGGTGGATCTGAGGGCCCCTGCAGGGACAGAGGACCTAAGACAAGGCTGGGAGATGAGGGTGGGGGTCAACAAATACACTGTCACAACCACACCCAACAGAAGCCTTTATTCAGCCACACTGAGAGCTCTGAGCCACAGCCATGGCGCCATCTCCACTGGCACTCAGGAAACATGCCTAGGCTGAAGCTGTCCTCGGGGGATAGAAGCTGAGGGATGGCCAGTGGGCTGAGGCTGGTACTGTCCTGGGCAGTCAACTGACCCAGAAAGACAGCATCTTGCCCTGGGTAAGCCCTCAGATGTCTTTCTCCATCCAGAATATGGGGCGTCTTCTCAGGTCTTGGTATTGAGTCTCCAGCAGGCTTTGTGGAGGGGGCCCTCCTGGAGGTGGGGGTAGGGTGGTCAAGGGCTCAGGCAGGGGTGGGGGTGGCGGCAATGATGACCCCTTGGGGGCTCTTGGGGCAGCTTGGGCAGTCAGGCTAGGGGCCCTGCAGGGTGGCCGGGGAAAGGAGGCCCTGGGGAAGGCACTGAGCAGGGTGGCAGGCAGCCACCGACTGGTGAAGACCAGGCCCTGCACAGGCTCACCCAGCTGGTATCCCAGGTGGGCGTAAAAGTGCAGCTGGTCATGGGTGGTGAGGTGTAGCCGGCGGAAGCCCCGGGCCTGAGCAAAGGCTTCAAGGCCCTCCATGAGGCAGCGGCCAAAGCCACGGCCCCTCAAGGCTCGGGCCACCACCACCGTCTCCACTAGGAGGCTCTGGGGCCGGTCCAGCACCCGTGACAGGCGGGCATGGCCCACCACAATGGGGTCTGCCTCTGGCGTGGGACGGGGGCTCAGCAGCATCAAGCAGAGGGGGAAGGCATCTGAGGACTGGCCCAAGGAGTGCAGGCGGGAGGCGCGGCTGCGGGGCCACTGCTCATTGATGAGGTCGGCACAGGCATCCAGGAGCTCAGGTCGGCAGTGCACAGGCTCCAGGGTCAGCTCAGCCAGGTTGGGGGCTGGGGTCTCCTCTGGCTGGCGTGCGGGATCCAGGGTCAGCTCAGTTGAGCCAGGACTGAGGGTCATCTCTGGATGGCATGCAGAACCCAGGGTCAACTCAGCTAGCCTGGGGCTCAGGGTCAGATCTGGCTGGTGTGTAGGATCCAGGATCAGCTTGGCCAGGTTGGATCTCAGGGTCACCTCTGGCTGGCATGCAGGATCCAGAGTCAGTTAGGCTGGAGTGGTACTCAGGATCAGCACCACCTGGTGTATAGGGTCTAGGGTAGGAGTCAGCTTGGCTGGGCCAGGGCTCAGAGTCAGCTCTTGCCTACATGTAGGATCCAGGCTCAGATGCCAGGCTGGGAGCCAAGGTCATCTCCTGCTGGGTTCCAGGTGGCTCAGTGCCAGGCTGGGGGTTAAGGCCACAGTCTCCAGGCAGTGGTATCTCCTGAGACCAGAAGGGTGCTCCTCCTGTGGACAACAGCCATGCTGGGCTGTGCCAGAAGGGAGGATGGGGCTGGGGCAGGGAGTGGCTGACAGAGTGCTAAGGAGGGCCACACATCCTGGAACTGGTGGGCTGCACCTTGTCCCCATACTCACCTGATGGCACAGGTGACCTGGAGGATCCCATCCCCTATACCTGGGGGACCTGACTCAGGTGGAGAGCAGAGGGGATGGATCCTGGGTGCTCTGCCTTACACTGGATGGAGGCTGAGGGCTAAAGGCTAGGGCAGAAATCAAGACTCCAGGCCCCAGCCTTCTCTGACTACCGCTTTGTCCTCCCCAGGAGAGTAGATCCAGCCCTACACCATTGCAGCTGGCTGACCATCAGACAGAGCATACAAACTAGACACCACGACCCCCTGCTTAAACGCTGTATTCCCTTCGGAGGGAACACAGCTTCCCTAGGAACTCCCCTAGGGAAGTTCCCTGTCCCACCCTTCTCCCTACTCCAGGTCCCAGCCTTTTTGACCACCTGGGCCATGCCTGCCACCTAACCGATATTGGGGTGCCATTAACCCACCCATCAGGCTCAAATTTCCCCTCCCTGGACTGCCTTCCCTACCAGGGGCACAGAGTCCCTGGCTCCCTCCCCAACACTGCCCAGCTCAGGACACTTTGACTGGGCATGGACCCAACTGCCCCTCAAAAAGGGCCCGGCTCACACAGCAACGTGGCTCCTGCAGGCCTGGTTCCCCACTGGCCTGTTTCGTAGACACCCTAGCTAGATAAGAACCACAGCTTCCTTCCTACATCCACAGGGGTGTCCAACGGCTACCAGGTTGGGGGCTCAGACCTCCTGACCCCGAACTCCATTGTGTGCCCATCCTACCACAGGCTCTGCTGGCAGAAGGGTCAATGCTCGGGGATTTCTAGCGATAGGTGGCCGCTGGGCCCCACCCTTCTACCCACCTGTTCCAGAGAGGATGCCCTGGCTCCCCTTCCCCACCTCCGCAGGAAGGCCCCGTGAGCTTGAGGCCAATTCCACACTGATCAGTAACAGGTAGCCCCCTCCCCTCATACCACATCCCACTCAGAGGGCTATAAGCCCCTCACCTGCATCAGCCACCTCCGCAGCAGCTGCACCCCTGGACCAGGAGAGAGGAAACCCCAGGATCCGCCCCTGAGCCTGGAGCCCCAGACTTCCCCCTCAGGCTTAACCCTTTCTGTGCCGACCCCACCCACTGTGGGTGGGGCTCCCGGGTCCACAGAGAGAGGCGACAGTCTCTCCTGCCTCGGTTTTCCCCTTCCTCCCACTGGGTGACAAACCGTGGAGTTTGGGGGTGGGGGCTTCGGGAGCTTGACTCCGGGCGGCTGTGGCTCGGCATGCTCTGGGAGGGAACGACAGACGCAAAGAGGGCGTGCGGGGCGGCTTAGTCACTTGAGAACTGTACGCGCGGAGCGGACGGGGAGAGCGGGGGACAATGAGGACGAATACGCCGCGCATGGGGAGGGGGGCAGTACTGACATGCTGACGCCTGGCTCCGGGACGCTCCGTGTCCTCGCTCCACACGGATCTGTATCTCGCTGTCTCTGGCTCGGACTCCTCCGGCACGCGGCGCTCGCACCCTAGCGGTGAGGCGGACGCACTGCAGCCGTCACGGCCCGCGGCACACCACCAGGTCCCGGGTCTTCGGGGCGGCCAGCCCCCGGCCCCGGCCCCTCGCGTCATAACACAGACCCGACGCAGACTGGATCTGTGCCCTGGTTTTACCTCTGCCCCTCCCGCCCTTGCTTATCCAGGCCCAGCTCCCAGTGAGCGCGAACCGAGCGCCAGCTCCATTACGGGTGGGCTGGGCTTCCATCTCGCCCCGCCCCGCCCCAGACTCAGATAGGTCTCCCCCCAGTTCAGCTTTGTTTCGGCTCACGTCAGCCTCCTGCCCAGCGTGGAAACGGTCAGGTGGAGCTTCCTCCCGAAATTTGGGCCCAACCCTGAGAAGCAGCCGCCCTCGGACAGACATCAAATCTGAGCAAGAGAAAAGAATTTTCCTGTGCCCTCTGGATCCCAGCGCCTGCACGTTTTAGGTGCTCAATAAACAGCTCTTGAAGTTAGAATCATGTCTGCTTTATTTGTGAGGCTGTTACCTCTGAACGGATTCAGGCTGCAGTACAGGGCTGATTACCGTCGACATATAGTAGGAGCCAAAGGGCTCCATCGCTATAGAGGTAGAAGTAGAGGGTAGAGATTCAAACCCAGATTCACCTGGGTTTGAATCTCAGCTGCTCTATTTTCTGTCTGCAACCTTGGGTAAAGTGCTTACCCTCCCTGTGTGTGCCTCAGTTTCCTCATAGCGTCATGTTAGGATTGCACAATTAAGTTAGACTACTTAAAATGCCTAGCACAGGACTCGGAAAAAGTAGGCACCCAGTGAATGTCAGCTCTTTCTTCCTTCCTTCCTTCCTCCCTCCCTCCCTTTCTTTCTTTCAGCATGCGGGATCTTAGTTCCCTGACCAGGGATCGAACCCCCGCCCCCTGCAGTAGAAGCACGGAGTCTTAACCACTGGACCGCCAGGGAAGTCCAGAGCGTCAGTTCTTGTGATTGCTGCAGTTTAAAGACTGGCTCAATGTCTCTGGAAGAAATATTTTTAACTCTGCTGGGTGGGGGTGCCCAAGGCTCTAACACCTTATGCAACTATCTTGGTCTGTAAGCAGGTGTGAATGGGCTAGCATATGCTCATGACAGTGCCTGAGTGTACTTCTGACTGTGACCATGACTCATGTGACTGTGCCTGTACTTGAGAAAGCTGTAGCCAGGTCCAGATTGCATTAGGTACTCAATGTGTGCATGTGCCAATCGCCACACGCCTCACTGCTCACACCATGTTCCCGTCCACCCATGGTAGCAGCGACATTTGAACTCCACAGCCAACCGATCCTTGAGTGAGAGGGCACCTCGGAGGGTCAGAGGCCCACCACCAGGCGTGGACTCGATGGAGAAACTGGTGGGGCTGAGGATGAGGCGGGCCTCGGGGTGACTGGGGCGCCGAGCACAACGGCCATGGCCAGAGCACAGGACTTGACTGCACAGAAGAGCCCCACTGGTCACATTCAGGATGAAGGGCCCCAGTGTCGTGTCAACATACTCCTTGATGGCCTGGCAGGATTCCTAGGTGGGAGGGGGAGCGTCAGGACACCACGGCCATGCACGGGTCCACCTAGGGCATTGAGGCACTCACCTGCTGGTCAACCAGGACTGCAGGGGTAAAGGGTGGGCCAGGGTCTCCCCAGTCAGCCTGGAAGCCCCACTCCTGCCCCCACCCTCACCCCCATCCTGGGCTTGAGCTCACCTTGGTTCTTGTGTTCTCCCAGCTCACCCAGAGCACCACTCCTGCTGCCCCCTGGGCTGCACTCTCCCCCAGGCTGTGCTCCAGCTCCTCCTGGGGAAAGGACAGCATAGCTCTGTGGGGCCTCCCTCCGTCCCCACAGCAGCCTGCTGTAACACTATTGCATGGGACAAATAATTCATAGCCTGCTCTAGCTGTGGTGGCCAGAGGCAAGCCTGCTCTTACTCTAGCCTGTGAGTGCCATGCAGGCAGGGATGATTTCTTTCTGAAGAATGCTGAATTGTCTGTGCCTAGCACAGAACTTGGCACACAGTAGGTGCTCAAAGAATGTGAGAGGGAATGGATGAAAGTGTCCCAAGGCTAAAGTGCCCCAGGGCTATGTGGCCTCACTTACTGGACTAATGCCTGACAATGTAGGTTACAAGGTGGGTGGGGTCACAGGAGACTCACCAGGGGCAGAAAGCGGTTAGTCATGTCGTAGAAGATCTGGACGTAGGGCAGCACTGGCAGATCAGGGAACCCTGCACCCACGGCCAAACGGAATGCCTCACCCACACGGTGCTGCACAAACATCCGTGCCTTCTTCGTGCCCTCCAGTGCTGCAGGCAGGTAGATGCTGGGGTAGAGGGCACGGCTCTGGCCCCACAGCCACCCCAGCTGGTCATTCTCGGCACGGATGCCTGGTGGGCACTGGCCAGTGTAGTTGGGATTTTTAAAGTCATAGTTATAGCAATCAGGGAAGCCATAGAAGCCCCAGAGGCCACGAGGCTGCAGTGCTTGTCCCAGCCTGAGGGTGCCTGCCATCCAGGCCCGCGCAGCCCCCTCAAACTGGTCCTGAGCTGCTGCCTCCACCCAAGGAGCTGGCCAGTCAGGGTGCTGCCCCTGTACCAGTGCCCGTGAGCGCTGCCGGTAAATGTCCTTGGTGTCCCAGTTGAAGGCCCAGCGTGGGCGCCATGCCTCCCAGTCAATAACTGCCAGCCCTGAGAAGTTGGATGCAGGCATGGCAGCCAGGATGTCCCGGAACGCGCGGGCCAGGTGGACAGCCAGGCTGGCATTCTGGGGCAGGCCACCGAATACGGGTTCCCCAGCAGGTGTGTAGTAAGGGTAGGTGCCCAGCTGGGAGCTGTAGAAAATGGTCATGTCAGGGCCGCGGAAGGTCTGCCCCGGGTTGGCCACCACATCAAAGACACTGACATCCACGTCCACGCCATGCCTCTCTAGACACCACTGGGTGTTTGCATTCCAGATGGTGGCGAAGGGCCGGTTGGGTACCAGGGGGTCCCTGGAGCCTTTGGCTATGCCGAGCAAGTTCAGGAAGAGGATGCAGATGGGAAGCAGGTGGGCTGCCGTGGCACAGGGCAGGTCTAGAGAAACCTGGCCAGGGGAAGCAGAGCTGAAAGCAGGCCTTGAACTCTCTGACCCCTACTGAGGGCAGGCAGGCCAAGTCCCTTATTAATCCACCTCTATTCTGGCTTCAGGTAAATATTGACCTGCAGGGTTCAGGGAAGTCAGAGGGCAAAGGAGAGGCATTGAGGGGAATATGGCCACTAGAGGGCACATCCGAGTTGCCTCTTGGGCCGACCTCTGCCCTCTGTCTCCCACAGGTCTTGTCCTGGCTTGCCCGCCCCCTTTCCCCAAGGGCCACAGAAGCCATGACATCTGTCTTGAGAAGAGTGGCTGAGAGCCAGGCCCTCAGCCCCCAGGCTGGCCGACTGACGGAGGCGGGGCCTTCCCTGTCTCTTTCCCCAGGAATCCTGGCCACCCATGCAGGAGGGCATGCTCAGTGACGCAGGAAAGGTCAGCCCAGCCCTCCTGCACACCCGCCAATCTGCCCACTTGTCCCTGCTGACCTCAGGGCTGAAAGGCCTCATTCTCCAAACTTCCTGACCTCAGGGTGAGGGCCTATGCAGGGCTCAGCAAGATTCTGTTCCTTAACTCTGGCCTCAGCTGCACCGAGACTCTTGGAGGAAGAAGCCGCTGCTAGAAACCCTGAGCTTTTGTAGGGGTCACCCCACCCAGTCTGGGGGCGGGCTGAGGGGCGGGCCCTGGGTTAGAGGGCTGGGCCAGACAGCAGAGCCACCTCTGCACTCCTAGCAAAGTGCTCTTGGTAGGAGGTGGGGCTAGGCCGGAAGTGGCCCCTCCCACTCTGTCAGCACTGGGGCTGGACTTTGTGGCTTTACTTGGGATGGTGTGGGGATGGAGGCAGTGCATGGGGGCCGTCTGGGTGGCAGATCCGACTGGGTGTGATACTGGAGTCTGGGTGCCTTCCCCACGTGCCTGCATTATGACACCTATGGGCCCTAGGCACTTTCACCTTTGCGGACCCATTCCTCAAAAAAACATTTTAAGGGAATGGTTAGGACTCTGTGCTTCCACTGCAGGGGACACGGGTTCGATCCCTGGTCGGGGAACTAAGATCCCACATGCTGCGCGGCCAAAAAAATACATATTTTTTTAAAAATATATTTTACGACTATACTGGCATAAGGACAGATATAATCCAGACTGAATTCATTATTTTATATTCATTATTCCTGTATTTTTTCTTCTGATTAAAAAAGATTAAAATTAAAACATTTTTGTGGGCCCGTATAAGTATTGTGGCCCTGTGCCTACAGTGCCTAGTGGATAAATCATCCCCCCTTTAGGGACCTGTGTCTGAAAGGAACTGTGTTCCTGAAGTCAGGGCTGCGTTGTCACCCTTTGTATATGTGCTGGATCAGTGACTGTGTCTGTGTAAAGCTCCAGTTAGTGGACATTTGGGACTCTCCACAAACTCCAGTAGTGTGTATGTGCAAGTGTGGGACCCAGTGCCTGGGACTTGGTGTGTGTGAGACCCTATTTTATGACCATGAGACCCCATGTTTGTGTGACCACGGGTATGAGCATGAGTGTATCAGTGAAGACGCGCTTGTTCATTCCTTCGTGATTTTGCTTGTTTGCTGATTCAGACGCTAGCAACTGAGACCTGCTAGGTGCTCAGGCCCAGGCTTGCCTGCCAGAGTGGGGTGAAGGAAACATCATGTTCCTGGCCCAGGTGAAAGCACTGAACAGCCCAGTCTGAACCTGAGCTCATAGCCAGGTCACAGCTGTGTGGGTCCGGTCACAGGTATGTCTGGATAACCTGTGTGTTGGCAGGTTACAGATGTGGGCAGGGTAGCTAACAGGTATGCATGG